GACAGAAGAGGAGACAGAGGAGGGGACAGAGGAGGGGACAGAGGAGAGGACAGAGGAGGGGACAGAGAGGACAGAGGGGACAGAAGAAGAGACAGAGGAGGGGACAGAAGAGGGGACAGAGGAGAGGACAGAGGAGGGGACAGAAGAGGGAACAGAGGAGAGGACAGAGGAGGGGACAGACGAGGGGACAGAGGAGAGGGCAGAGGAGGGGACAGAGAGGACAGAAGAGGGGACAGAGGAGAGGACAGAGGAGGGGACAGAAGAGGGGACAGAGGAGAGGACAGAGGAGGGGACAGAGGAGAGGACAGAGGAGGGGACAGAAGAGGGGACAGAGGAGGGGACAGAGGAGGGGACAGAAGAAGGGACAGAGGAGAGGGCAGAGAGGGCACAGGAGGCAGCAGCCAGCGTCCAGGGGCCTCGTGAGCCACTACAGGCCTGGGGGCAAAGGAATCTGCAGGAAGACAAGTCAGCTTTGCTTTTTAGAAAGATGAGCAACGGGAAGGACCCGGGGGTGGGGGCTGGGGACAGAGGCCAGCACACTGGCGAAATCAGCTTCAGCGTAACCAAAGCTTGGACCCAGCCCAAGGCGAGGCGCTCTCGACTCCGACTCCACGCCCCACCTCCCACGGCTGCCATGCGAGTTGAAACCCACATTTGCCATTTTGGTAACATTGAAGGTGAGCCCCCAGCCCACCACCAGTCAGGGCCACAGGGCTCTATGCCTTGATAAAGGTCCAGCTCTGCTCCCCTCGGGTGCTGCTCCGAGCCCACAAAGAAAGCAGGCTCTGGGACAGCCCTCTCCAATGGCCCCGGCTGGGCTGTGAGGCCAGAGAAGCCAAGATTCTAGCCCACGGTGAGCGTCTTGGGAAGCAATAAAACTGGTCCCCGCACAAGTGAAACTGGATTTCTTTGGAGGCGGCACAGCTCTGCAAATAAGCAGCTGGGGAGGGAGGAATGGAGGGAGGGGAGGAGGGAGGGGAGGAGGGAGGGGAGGAGGGAGGGAAGCGACCCCGAGGCTGGAAAGGCAGGCAGAGAAGAGGGACATCCCAGAAGCCCAAAGATGAAGAAAAGCAGCTCCTCCGGCCACCCGGGCCCTGGTGGAGACCTGCTCTGAAAGGAGGCCCAAAAGGAGAAGGAACAAGGGCTTGGAAGGCCGGGCACGCGACCTCCAGCCTCCCAGAGCAGGCAAGGCGCCATGGGGCCCCTGCTTTATACTCACAGTCTGAAGATCTTGTGCATAACGGCCCTCACCTGCTTCACTTTACGGTTTTAAACTACGAGGCTCCAGAAGAGGTGGGAGCAGACTCCAAGCCCAGGGTTAGAACCCAGTCCTTAAACCCCTCCCGCCACGTTAGGGGG